AAAATATGTCATCTACATCTTTAGCTCAGTGAGTACTCTGATTACATGGCCATTAATGTGATGTTCTTTCTCCCTTAAACCTACTTTAAATATACTTTACCACATTTTACTGTCCTCTCAGTGGCTTCCCAGATAGGTGCATATTTTTTGGACATAGAATGTTCTTTTGTCAACTTGTTTTCACTGGTTGTTGTAGAATGTCCATTGGCATAAGAAACCGAGCACCAGATTTTTAAAAATAATATAATAGTTTATTTTTACATCATTTTGTGTCTTTTCCCATCTCAGTTGTAATCCCTGTGGGCTTCCCATCACCATATCACCCGTGTGCCATTACCACAGTCCAGTGCACTGCCCCCTCCGCCCCCCCGTTTTTGATCCCATTCCCCACTTCATCCCCTGTAAAATGTCTCTAGTATATAGTTGTTCATTATTATTATTATTTTCTCCCCTGATCCTTTATACTCCTGCTATGAGTGAAACCATCCTGTAGTTTTCCTTTGCTTTCTGGCTTATTTCACTGAGCATGATCCCTTCCAGCCGAGCAACAGATTTTAATAATGACTATGTAACTGTATTTACCACTGTTTTGGGGTGACTATGTAACTGTATTTACCACTGTTTTGGGGGGTGTTGTTTAACACCTGCTCCCTGTTTCAGTATGTGGATTTCTGTGTAGACTTCTGAGGCCCTGTGTAACTTTTCTCAAGCCTTTTCAGCTTTCATGCCCTTTTTACCTATATTTTTAATATCATCATTCAGCAGGTCCCTTCTTACACCTTTGGATTTTTGGTAATATATTTTTTGTTCCTTCGGATTTTGGGGAAGGAAACTGCATATGCTGACCTGCATACTCCTTCTCATTTCCCTTTCAGTGGGTCCACTCTTAGTAGCAGACCACTTCTGTTTAATTTGTGATTCTTTATTGTTCATTCTCCCCTCCCCCTTACACTTTTTTAGTTTCCCACAGCTTTTTGCTAATTTGGAGTTACTTGTTTTTTTTTTTTTAAATGATTCTAAACATTATTGCTTGTTGCTGTCTATTTTTTCATTTCCTGGCAAAAGAAGAATGCTCTTCCTAAACCTTTTGAAAGTTAAAATGATTTGGGAGAAATATCTGCCGTGCAAGCCCTCCTCTCCTCCCACAGCAGCTCTCACATTATAAACCACAGGAGACTTGGGGGGTACAGCTTTCTTTACTAAGTCTTCAGTGTTGGCCCTTTTTTATGGCTGTAACGGATGGAGGTTGTCACTAAAATAAAATAAAAAATAAGAAAGTTATTGTCCTGCCATACCTTTGTTCCCTTACCTGAGCTGCAAATACTGTTTGCCAAGTAAAAACAAAAACATGGTCACCGAAGGATAAATTCTTATCTTTCTCTGGACTTTCAAATAAAACTGCAGAATTATTTAATAGGCATACTACAGAGCAGGCAAAGGCAACCTTTAAACACAAAGTTCAAATCAATAAGAATGAACATATCCTAGCCTCTGTTTTCCTGCTACCGACTGAAACAAGTACTAATTAGAAGAGCCTCGCATGTCTGGCCCTTTCGGGTGTAGCAGATGGTGCTCAGGGCGCTGCGTACTGCCAGGCAGAAGGTGGGTACTTCTCAGCTACCATCCCTCCATCCTGATTTTGTCTGAGGACACGCACAGACATGCCCATTGCTTGCACCGAGGCCTTTTCCTGGTTCTTTATTCTGTTGTCCCACTTCTGATTTCAGGTGCATTTCTGCACCTGAGTGCTGTAGTAGTGTTACCTCTTCCTTAACAACCCCAGTTTATCTGAATTCTCTGGGGTCTCTTTTCAGAACCCCCTTTAACACTATGACCTCACATTGTTTCTTTTGAATTTTCTTTCTCAAAATCACACAGGAGTGGCAGAAGTGTTTGTTCCCCTCTGAGAGCTAGTCTACAGATAGTTATGCCACTTCTATTGTTTTTTTTTTTTTTTTTAACTTTTCACAGATTGCCTGCAAACATATGTTTTCTTCTTTTGGTTTGTATTTCATATATTCCTTCCTTTGCCGTTAACTTTGCAAACCAACTCTAGGAAAGCTTTGATTTTTGTATAGAAATTTTCAATGCTGTTGAGTGTTGATATTGTTTTGACAATTCGGCACATGCATTTTCAACAATATGAAAATCATTCATATTAGGATGACAAAGTGTGGAACTGATTACATTTCACCAGATTCCTGCATTTCATCAGAGTTGCTTTACCAGGACATATTCTTTTAGTCTGTTTGTTGTGAAAGCCAGGATGTAATTGCCTTTGGTAACGAAACTTACTCTTAATTTGGTGCTTCCTCCTGGCGGAATTAGAATTAAATAGTGATTAGTTATTATCAATATTTCTGGCTTCAGTGAGAAGTATAAATTTTTTTTCTTCATTATGTTTCTTGCCCTTGCTGAAGGATGAAGCAGGGAGACCAATTAGGAAGCTGCCACAATATCTCAGGCAAGAGATATGAATGTTTGGAATAGCATTTAGCATGGAGAATAACTCACATTATTATTTTAAAAAGCATAGGCAAGAAAGCTCTCCTTAATTAGTTTCAGCACATTGTAAATTTAGCTTTCAGAGTTTAGAAGGCAGTTTTTCTGAGCCTCTCTACTTTCTTTTTAACCTGTCTTTGTGGTCCATATCTAACTAAGGAACTTGTCATGTCTCCCACTTATGTATTTCATACTTTTCGAAACTATTACATCTTAAAAACAATTACATATGCAGATTGTAAAAAAGTAAAAAGGAAACCAGTAAGAAACCTTATACTGCTGCCCAAAGTAATAGTCATTAGCATTTCAATTTATTTCTCTTCAGTTTTTGGTAAGTATAGAAATAATTTTTAGACCAAAGAACATATCTAATATTTTTTATTTATATAAAAACTTGCATTTTAATGAAACATTAAGCTATGAGCTATTGCTACAGGGCAGCCCAATGTGAACAGGGTTACCTGTCTGTGGGCCCTCACCTGCGCACTTAAGATTCAGTTGCACTGAGGAAACACACAAAAAGGTTCAATAATGGGTTTATTTACAAGGGGAAAGGAAAAGGAACAACCCAGGCAAAGAGAGAGGGAGAGAGAAAAGCCTCAGCCAAACATGGCTCTCTGTATATCCCCAAAAGACCCAAAATGGTTGCTTGGCTCTGCCCTTGGGTCCTTTCACTTCTCCCTTTGGTGTTTCTGGGAGTTGTAGTTTCAGTGACTGGAGTAGGGGGTGGAGTTGTAGTTTCAATAACTGGAGTAGGGTGTGGTGCCCACAAAACCTGTATCAGGATATCCTTTCCCCCTAACACTGTCAATAAGTGTATGAAAGTACATTATTGATTGATTGTGTGACTGCACCACATATTTTGCCATTATACCATTGTTGAATGTTTTGGTTGTTTCCAGCTCATTATTATTTTAACAAATATTGTGGTCAATATTGAAATGAATAATACGTCTTCATATATATCCTCGAAAGGTGAATTAATGTATAAAATATTTTTAAAGTCAAGTATTTCTTCAAAGGCTTGAATTGAAGCAGTGTGAGGAGCGAAAGAGCCCTCCTGGCTCCAGCTAGTAAAGAAGGCAGCGAAAGTATGTGCGTCTGCTCCTATTTATGGGAGTCTCCTCTTCCCCTCCACACCACCCTCAGATAAGGAAACACAGAGCACAGGGGGTCTGGGAGGGGGAGAGGCAGAGGGCAGTGATGGCGAACGCCTCATCGCCCTCACCACCTCCTCAGGTGCGTGTGGCTATGAGTATCTGCCCGTCATGTCATCCTGGACACCCACATACTCATCCGCCCACCTTTGGATTTGTTTGAATGTGGCCATGACCCTTCTGTTTATAGAAGAATGCAGCTTTTATCCAGCATGGCCTATTATCTTCCAGCTTTTTGGAACAGTACAAAATAACTACAAGGACTTTTGTCATCCCTCATATTCTTTTGTTCTGGGAAGACCGTGGTGTGGGCTTTTGGATTATATCTGAAGACTGCTTAACCTTAAAAACTTGTGGAGAATTCAGTTGGTAGTTTCAAGACAAGTTGAGCACAACTCTCTCCTTGTGCAAGTTCATTTAAACAAATAGTCACTTGCTTCAGGCCTGACATGTATTATGCTGAGAATACTCAGAATCTCCAAGATAATTTTTTTAAATTGCATTTTCCTATTCCTTTACTTGCTACCAAGTACTTAACACTGCATTGTTTCTTATGAGTGTTTTTTAATGTTGCTGTTGAAAAAAAAAAAAACTATTTCGTTTGTCCTTTTTTGAAAGAAATTCTAAAATAGACTAATTTGGGGACATTTCATATTAATATAAGATTCCCCTTTACTCTGTGAATGACCTTCATTCTAATTGCATTGAGCATTTCTAATTATTATTTAATATTTGCTTTCTGAAATTTCCATATTGAAATTAATAATCTGTCTTCAAGTAAAATTATTTCAGTGATTGCAATTCTGTTACCATGTTCAAAGCTAACAACAGGAATAATTAAAAATGGTTACAAATAGCATTTGTATCTATATTTAAAATGCTCTTCAGTTGACCAAGCAGATGTTGTTACAGATTTTTGTCTTTGATATGATAAATTTACCAATCATTTTGAAAATCTGGACTTAAAGAGTGTGCTTTCAAGTTTTGTATCATTCGACTTCTTTTGTGAAAGTCCAAGCAGATGTACTGACAAAGTGTTTGACCTAATTGTAACTACCACTGTATATGAGACACAGACTAAGTTCTAGAGCTTCCTGTTCTGTATTTTATGTACTTGATTTTCTTCTTTTTATGACCAAAAGTGTGTGATACATTGTGCACGCACACACATTCTTTCGTACATTTTTCCTCTCTCTCGTGTGTGGGTATGTATGTATATATTTTTAGATTCTATATCCAACCTAAGTTGGAGGTGAAGACACAATTTACTATGCTTTTTAATTAACAAATGTAGTTTAAGCTTTCACTATTTAATTTAAAATTTATTTTCTTTTTGCCTAGGTTGAAGAAATTGTGGATGTTGGATCATTTGCCCCAGAAGATATCCATATCCCTAAGATTTATGTACATCGCCTTATCAAGGGAGAAAAATATGAGAAAAGAATTGAGGTAACTGACCTAGCTTCTTTGTCATTGTTTGTAGATTTAATTAGCAATTACAGTGTCACTGTGGCTATTTCAGGTGACAGGGAACTGGAGCTGAATATGAAGTCTTGCTTTGGATCACAACAGGAGCTTTTCATACACCCATTGTGAGGGGCTTTGGACATCTGCTTCACTGTGTAGCCCAGCAGTGCTTTGTGTTCACAGGCTGCGCTTAGACTTTGCCTTCTAGGCTTGTATAACTGTCTTCATTGATGATACATTATTTTGACTGCCTTGGTGGAGAGGGTAATAGGGTATTTGGTGGCTTTTCCCCTGCTGGCCTCTTAATATGATTGTCCAGAAGTGACTATCTAACTTGAAGTTACTTTGCACTTTACATAGAACATCATTTCCATTTAGTTAGGGTGCTGGGCAGCTGGTAGATATAAAATCATGGCTCACATGGCATTGCAGATATATACGAGTGCTACTAAGAGTCTTAGAAAAAAACTTGCTGGGGCATAATTGTTATGCAGATTCAAAAGTCTGCAACAGTCAACAACAAAATAAACATGCACTAAGATATATCAGGGAATCAGAGATGCTCCCTACCCTGTGGATATGAAGTAGAAAGACATTCTGCAATCTAAAAGTGGCATCAAGAGCTAGGGAGAAAGAATGGGACATTTACAAACAGGAACCAGAGTCTGTGTCAAGAAGATTTAGAAATGGAAATTGTTTCCTGACTGGTTTTTGGATATTTCTTTGATTCCCTGTGATGCACTAGCAAAACCAGTCTAGACTCTGCAGGTGGAAATAGGCAATTGGCAGCAGCAACACTTGGTAAACACCTCTTGACAGCCCTGCAAAAACAGATCCCAAGGTCTATCCCTTTTTCTTTGTTCTGGCTTCTCCTGGAGCACCTGATGAGATTCACTTGTAGGTGTCTTAAGGATGAAAGTGGTAGCAGTCAAGGTGACAATAACTAAGAGATTGTTTATTTCAAAGAGACAGGAAAACTATATCTTCCTCTTCAAACAAATCTGACTGCTTTTACTTACTTTCTAGAAAATAAAATCTGTCATCAAATATTACCCACGTTATTCTTTTTTAAAATTCTGTTTTATAATTGCAGATTTGCGTCATAGTAGTAAAGGAGAGATTTACTTTTTTTTGTTTTTTGTTTTGTGGTAAAAGCATGTATTTCAGCAGTCATAAAAAATAGAAGGTACATCACAATCATGAATAATTTATCTCTGTTTACTTTAAAGCGTTTATCAGTCCGGAAAGAAGGGGATGTAAAGGCCAAGTCTGGTAAACCTGGTGACAGCGTGAGGGAGCGCATCATCAGGCGGGCAGCTCTTGAATTTGAAGATGGCATGTTTGGTATCCTTTATCTTTCTGGGACAGGAAAAGCTTTCACTATCCCCATACTCAGGTTAATACCATAACCAGTTTACTAGGCCTCCTGCAGGGTGATTGTTCTCTAGTCTTTTGTAACTTTTAAAACAGTCCATCAAGTGTTACAAAATATGGCATATGACTTAAAAATACCAAGATTTATAAAACTGTCACTGTAATCTGTAGTCCTGAAACTAGGTGGCTGTAAAACATTTGTTCACCTATTTTGAATATACCACAGATTTCAGTACAATCTGGCATTTGATAAAGGCTTTTGGGTAAAGAGATTACCCAAGATGAGGATTTCAAATCTCCCAAGTACTAGTTACAACCATTGCTATTTACTTTCTTTCTGTTCTGATATTTGCGTTCTCATTGAAACATAAGATCAACCCCTTGTTTCCCTTGACAAAAGTCCCATGAGTCCCTTTCACATTTGATGCTTTGCAAGGCTATTGAATAACTGATTCAAGTTCTCCCTTAGACACTTTACTCAGTAAAGAGTTAGGTAGAGATAAATTAGTACAATTACAGTTCCTGGATTTTCAATGAATTTAAATAATAGGGATTCTTCTTATTTTGCTACAAACTGTTAAACTATAAAATACAAATAATACATCTCTCAGCACAAATCGTGGGTTGCAAATTAAATATTGTTGAAGGAATAGCTCAAGACATAGGACAGGAGAACTTGAAACATGACAGGTGTCATTATTCTGTGAGCTTCTCCTAGTACATGAACATCATCCTGTGGCTGATACTGATGAAGAGAGAGCTCCATTTCAGCTTTCCTTATACCTCTGCCTTTCAATTTTTCATATTTCCCAGTGTATTCCTTGTCTTATGGGGAGAATTCACTTAGGGAGAGAGAGTATAGCCTCTTCTTTACCCCCTAAAATAAGTGAGCTGTAGAGTCAGTCAAGTGAAAGTTGGTCACTAGGTTTTCTCCTCATCTCAAGCCAGTTGGTTTATCACTGATGCTAAATGTTGGCTGTATGTTAACACTAATTTTAGATAATGATGGCTTGTAGGTTTTTTTTTTTTTTTTTTTTAAGATTTATTTATTTGTGCATACAGAACTGGGGTACAGGCCAGAGGCTCAGAGGCGGCGAGAGGCTTCACCAGAGACAGAGTGGGGAACAGAACAGGCAGATCGACAAAGTACACTGCTGAGGGGAGCAGCGGGCGGGTCAGGAGAGGTCTGCCGCGCCATGTGGTCACCTCCGGGGCAGGCTGGGATCGAACTCATGCGAAAGTGGCTTTAGATTCTCAGTGCAGTGCTTTAACCCGCTGCGCCACCAGGGAGGGCCTGTAGGTTTTTTTTTTATTTACCGTTCGTGTATTATCTATGGAAAGTATTTTTAAGTCACTTCATATCAATTGCCTTTCCCTATCACCCATTCTTTCCATACAAAAGATGGAACTTACATATTCCTAGGTATGTAACTTACTAAAAAGTTTAAGGAATGGAGAAAATGATAGAGTATAATGAAATAATTAAGTTACAAAGCTTGTAATTTGGATGGCCTTGCCCTGAAGTACCTGCTCATAATAGAATTACTAGCTCAGTATGTTCTTTGTGTCACAGTGAGAAATTAAGTAACTCTGCACTGCTCGATTACAATCTGGTAGGAGTAGAACCAAGTAGCAGTTGTTGCTGCGTCATAGTCTTACTGAATCCACAAGAAGTTACCTGGTCTATCAAATTACCTGCTGGTCTTTTTGTCTGTAATTTGGCAGTATAGACAAGCTAATTTTTTTGGCCTTGATTCTTAAAGATCTCACTGTTAATACAGAGTTTTCAGAGTACCACCTTTCTCTTTATCTTCTGGTATCTTTATGGAAAAACATTTTAATGTTATTGAAAAAACTGTGATTAAGTAGAGATTTTCTTAAAAAGAATTATAAGCATGTTTAAAGGGTGATTGGATAATGTATTTTGTGATTACATTAGATCAAATGCCTAATGAAGGCTTCTGTTCAGATTTATATATATAGTTGATGACATAGTCTCTCTATCTTTTATGTGCTGGACCTTAACATTGTTTTTTCTAGCTAACTTGGGCATAGGAATCCCACTTCTGGCCAGTAACTTTATCAGCCCAAATTTGACTGTTCATCTGCAAAGTGAAAATGGAGTCCTGGGTTTGGTAAGAAGGACATTTAAGTTTTATTTATCCACAATATTTCATGTAGTGAAATCTTTCTGTAACTAAGAGTTGTTAGCTTAAAGTTCCAGTCCTATTTTTCTCATTTTATTATCAGTATGAAATATTTAACTTCCATGAAGTATTGGTCATTTTCCTAAGCTTGTAGTGTTATATTTCATGTATTGGATGGTAGTTTTCCTGTCTGTGTGAGCTTTTTAACTGTTCTTTGGCATTTTATCAGTTTCTCCTCTGTTGTACATGATTCACAGAGACCTTATAGTTTCTTGTTTAGTTAAATACTTTAAACTAAATAGTATGGTCGGACATGACAATAAAGGTTGTTACCAATCCTATATTATATTAAATGAAAATCAGCGAGACTCTGAATGTGAAACTGAAGAATGTGGCTAATACTTTCAGACTGATTCAAAAGGTCTTAGCAGTTATCAAGATTAACCTTCAGGATGAGTCTAATATCTTATAACATGTGGTCATACTTTTTATTTGATATTTTAATAAGATCAAGAAATACTTTTGCTTCCTGGATGTCATTTTAAATTATTATTAACAATGGCAGAGATTATAGTTTGTCAATTTATGTTTCTAATTTTGGCTTTTATTAGTAGGTCATAATTGTTAATGCAATGAAAATTGTACATATGGAAAGTGTCTATCTCCTGTTTAAGATTTAAGTGATGGTCATGAGCATGTAGTCAATACTGATTGAGTCATGACCATTTTCAAAATCACAGAAGTGATATGTGTCTGGATAAGAGATTCATATTGTAAAGACTCACATTTTTAAGGTAACTTAGAAAGTATCTAGATTGACCAATTTATTCCCTTTCTTTGATGATGAGAAATAATTTGATGTGATTACCCATAGCTACTATTTAAAGGAAATTTTACAAAAATCGAGCACAGTAGTTACCACTTCAGTTTATTTGAAGGGTAAATGTTAGTTCCTCTGTAGAAAGTATGTTTAAATTTCACAGCCAGTGTGCACTCATTCTAGGTTCTATTTTATGACTTTGTATTTTCCATTTGTATATTTTCTCCCTTTCTTGTTTCACATGTGTTATGTTTTAAAAATACCCTATTCAAGTCATTTGAGATGCCTTATAAAAACACATACAACATTTAAAAAACAATGCTCACTGAGAATAAGTGGGCAAAAAAGAAATTAGAGGTGTCAAAACTTAAATGTTGTGAACGTTAGAAACCCAAATTTAAGCTTTCAGGTGCTTGCATTCCAAAATAGGGAGTGATATTGCCAAAAAGGCTTATGAACAACACTGCTTAGAGGGTAAGTATTAAATAATTACATTTTGTTTTACTGACCTACCTCTATTTCTAATAACTTTTAAACTTTGGCAATTTTTAGATAATAGTTTTCATTTGTCCAAGCACAGTTATAAGTATGGAAGAGACTAGTCAATATGAGAAATAGTCATGTAAACATTAAAAAAAAATTTTTTTTGGTAATTACGAAATTTAATTTATTGAAACAGTTGGACTGAGGAAGATCAAAATTTAGAACGTTTTATGTTTTCTACTCCAGTTTTCAAACAAGGTCCACTGAAACACTGAGTTAAATTTTGAGTATCAAAGAGTCCCACTTGTGTTTTTTCCCCCCAAAAATCTCAGTTGTCAAATGTTATTTCTGATTCAAATTTTCTCCCTCTTTTTGAAGATCAGGCCATTTTGAAAGTTAGCTTTATAGAAATAGGGAGATTATAAATAGCATCAACCCCTTCCTTGCCCCACCTAACATATGACCTCCTCGTATACGATAGCTGTCCTGGAATGGGGGAGAGGTGGATAAATGAAAGAAATAGCCGACAATCTTACAGGAGAGTGTAGCCAGCTCCCTGGTTGGGCCTTTCTGGTTACACCTAGGTGAGTGTTCAGTGACTGCCTGGTTCACATGGGGTGCTTCTGGGCTGGCTGAGTGGTACTGCATCCGGGGTAATGATTGCGTTCTCTGGTCCAGACAATGCATTTCATGAACATTTGCTTTCCTGGTTCCATTTGTGCAGTCTCTCTCTGTGGGCTTACCTGGGGTCTTTATATATATATTTATATATATATTTTTTCATTCTTTTTTTTATCCATTCATCATTCAATAAATATTTTTGTACATACCAGATGGCAGGCACTTTCTAAAACTTTGGAAGGTACCAAGTATAAATACAATAACAAGGGAAACACAATTCCCTGTGTATACAATTTTTTTTCAAAAATAAGTTTTTTTTCTTATTTTTTAAAAGAATATGATAGTTTATTTTTACATCATTTTGTGCCTTTTTCCATCTCAGTTGTAATCCCTCTGGGCTTACAACCATCACCAAATCACCCATGTGCCGTCATCATCGTCCAGTACACTTCCCTCCCCCCCACCATTTTTGATCCCATTCCCCATACATCCCTGTAAAATGTTCTGGTATATAGTTGTTCATTATTATTATTTTCTCACCTGGTCCTTTATGCTCCTGTTATGAGTGAAACCACCCAGAATTTTTCCCTTTCTTTCTGACTTATTTTACTAAGCATGATCTTTTCCAGCTCCATCCATGTTGCTGCAAAAGGCATGTGTTTATTTATTTTTTGGTTGCTGAGTAATATTCTATTGTATATATGTACCACATCTTTTTAATCCAATCATCTACTTTTGGGCATTTGGGCTGCTTCCATGTCTTTCCGCTTGTAAATTAAGTAGCAGTAAACATGGGGGTGCAAGTGTCTTTTTGAATCAGTGTTTTTGTGTCATTTGGGTAGATACCTAGGAATGGGATTGCTGTGTGAGGAACCTCCAAACAGTTTTCCATAGTGGTTGTACTAGTTTGCATTCCCACCAGCAGTGCAGGAGAGTTCCTTTTTCTCCACATCCTTGCCAACATTTGTTGTTGCAAGTTGTTTTAAGTCTGCTATTCTCACTGGGGTGAGGTGGTATCTCACTGTGGTTTTAATTTACATCTCTCTTATTACAAGTGATGTTGAACATTTTTTCATATGCTTGTTGACCATCAGCATTTTCTTTTTGGAGAAGTGTCTTTTTAACTCTTCTTCCCAATTACAATAAAAATGATTTTAAAGTTCATCTCCAGCTTTCAGATTATAATTTCCTAGGCTTTTTGGAGAAGTTGTTTAATATTACGGTTTTAATGTGTGGTTTGGTGAGAAACTTCGTTTACTAACTGGACAATTGCTCTATTTCACAGGGTCCATATCCATCCCAAGATGAAGTTGATGCAGATCTGATCAACGCAGGTAGACTTACTTATTTACATACTTTTCCCAAAGTTCTTTGCTGTTAGGTTAGTTCCATGCTAAATAATAGTGGGGGCTGCTGGTGGTGCTCAAGGCTGTGTCTTTTCCTGGAGTGTGTGCCGCTGTATTGTTTATTGAGGAGGGGAGAATAGCCTATTTAGTCCCTACCTTGCCTGAATTACTTGTCAGGAGTCTGCTCATATTTAACACAGACTAAGATGAAGGAGAAATTACAGATGGGCCTGTGTACAATGTCATCAAGAGCTTTGGCTGGTCAATAAGGTTTCCAGTTAGAAGCAGAGAGCATCTCAAATGTGGAAAATGAGGTGATTGAGGAAGAGACAAGGGTGTAGAAAAGATAAAGAGAAACTAGGAAAGGGTGGGGATGGGCAACAGTTACTATCACGTGCAGGCCTTCTGGGGCAGCAGCAGGTGGGAGCCTCAGACAGGAACTATAACCTGCAGGAGGAAGCTAGTAGAGGGGCACGGCCATCTTGCAGCACCTTCGTAAGGGTGAGGCAGGGTCTCCTGCTGTGTCCTTTGACCAGTTCCAGTGTTGAATGGTCTCCTCAGGATGAGAAGGCTAGGCTGTTACATGTGACTCTGTCTCCCAGTTAAATAAAAGCCTGATAATAAAAGCTAAAGCATAGGGACAAAAAGGAAAGACCTGGTGAATTGGGTTTCTTGACATAGGAGATGCTTACTGCCTTCTAGTCTCTAATGGAGTGGAAGACTTCAATTCTTCAGTTCTCCAAAGAACTCAATGAAGTGAGTGATAAATATAGTATCTTTGAAGATTGGACTTTAGCCTTGTCTTCTCTTTTGTTACAGCACTTGCTTGCTTTACCTTTTATTATTGGGCTTTTCTTTAACTGGGACATAGAGTCGCATGTAACTTAGAGGAGCAAAGTAGGTGAGACCTTTTGGCCTTCCTTACTGCCACGCTTAAGGTAATACAGTCTCTGTGCAGGGGGGATGTTTATCTTATAATGGGGCTGCCTGTAAGAAGCTCATTTTGTTCCAGCTTAATTTCCTCCACCCTTCTGTTATTCCTATTCCACGCTACCCCCACAAATGTATTCTTACTTCACATTCAAAAATAGTATGCGTAAATCTCAGAAGAGAAGCAATATGAGCCGAACATAAAGGCCAGCTGCCAAGTAGAATTGCTGTTTAATACTTCAAATTTTTGGAAGTAAAACAGCTTCTGGTTGAATAGTTGAATTAGTTAACACAACTCAACTTGAGAGGCCCACAGTGATAAAGCAGTGACATTTAGCCAAGGCTCTAATTTAATTGTGCTGTACCGTTTAGCCATAGTTCATTGACCTGTGAAAATATTTGCTGCTTGATTTAATTAATTTATGATGTTAGTAAGTTATTTGCAAAATGAATAACTCCATTTTCCAAATTTGAGGATTGGATTCATGAACCCACTTTCATTGGAAAGATAGCTGATCTTTTCAATGATATTGTGGATAGTAGGCATTTCTGATTCCATGAGCTTACAGGTAGCTTATTCTTAATGAAGCCACCAGCTTTCTATACGTCAACCTCTAAATACCACCTATAATCTTAAACTACTTTCTAAAGCAATATATATATATTTTCTTACAACATTATTCATTTTTGTACAATATTTGCTTTCTCCCCTCAGGTATAGTCCCTGTAGTTCTCCTATTACCATACCACCTGTGATTCATCACAACAGTCCCTTGTACTCTTCCCTCCACTGTTTTGACCTCTCTCTTTCCCCCTCCCCTGCAGTATGCCTCAGATTTATGGCCAGCTTGCAAGTTTTGTTTTTTTCCTGTTTCCTTACATTCCACCTTTAAGTGAAACCACCTGATATTTCTTTTTCCTTCTGACTTACTCACTGAGCATGATCCCTTCCAGCTCAATCCATGTTACTGCAATAGCATGAGTTTATCTTTCTTGATTGCTGAGTAATAGTCCACTGTGTATGTGTGTGTGTGTGTGTGTGTGTGTGTGTGTGCATATATATATGTGTGTGTTTCCCACATCTTCTTGATCCACTCATTTGTTTTGGGGCATTTAGGTTTTTTCCATGTCTTGGCTATTGTAAATAGTGTTGCAATAAACATAGGAGTGCAGGTTTTCCTTTTGGATTAGTGTTTTTGTGTTGTTTAGGTAGATTCCTAGTATTTGAATCGCTGGATCATATGGTAGTGTTTTGAAGAATCTCTACACGACTTTCCAAAGTTGTTAGACCAGTTTGCACTCCCAGCAGCAGCATCAGAGGGTTCCTTTTCTCCACATCTGCACCAGCATATGTTGTTTCCAGTTTTCTTTTTTTTAAAATATGGGTCATTCTCACCAGTGTGAGGTGGTAGCTCATTGTGGTTTGATTTACATCGCCTTGAACATTTTTTCATATGCCTGTTGGCCACTTGCATTTCCGCTTTGGTGAAATCTTTTAGCTCTTCTGCCCAGTTTTTGACTGGGTTGTTTGTTTTTGTTGAGTCATGTGAGCTCTTTGTAGACTTTTGAAATCAGCCTCTTATCAGTTGTATGAAGTGTGAATATTTTCTCCCACTTAGTAGGATGTCTCTTCATTCTGGTTACTGTTTTTTTGCTGTACAGAAGCTTTTTAGTTTGGTATCGTCCCAGCTGTTTATCTTCTTCTTTGTTTTCCTTGCTTCTGAAGATGAGTCATCAGAGATGTTTCTGAGGTGTATGTGCTGGAGTGTTTTCTTCTAATTAATTTATGGGTTCAGGTCTTACATTCAAGTCTTTTCCTCATTTTGAGTTGGTCTTGTATATTTGAGATAGTAGTCCAGTTTCATTTTTTTTGTGTTGATGGCCCAATTTTATCAGAAGTATTTATTGAAGCAACTATCCTGTTCCATTCTATATTCTTTACTCTTTTGTCATAGATTAGTTGACCATATATGTGTGGTTTTATTTCTAGGCTTTCAGTTACATTCCATTGTTCTGTGTATGTGTTTTCTGTTCCACTACCATACTGTTTTATTATTATTATGGCTTTATAGTATAGCTTGAGGTCTGGAAATGTAACATTTACATCATCCCCCATTTTGTGAGGTGAGCTTTAGCTATTCAAGGCTATTTAAAACAAGAATGATTTAGTTATGGCTGGTCAAGCTGAAAATCAGTTTAACAATTCTATAACTCTTTCGCCAAAGTCCTCGTTAGGATTTATAACACTTTAGTTTTTAGAGTTGTAAGTTTGGGAGAAATTTTATAAATGAGAGCGCCTAGAGTTAAATTAATGTTTTCTTCAACTGCCAACATTTGGAAGTTATTGGAAAGATCAGCCCATTGTTTGTGTTAGTTTGAAAGAATTGTGTCAAGAAGTCTTTGGAGTGAATAGTGAGTTACTTTCTGGTTATAATTAGTGAACTTAACAATTTTTAAATAATAGAATTATTCCTGAGTATCCATTCTTCCAAATAATAGTCTCATATAGTTATATAAAAATAAGTTACCACCACTTGAATAGCACCACATAGTATACAAATACTTTTCATTGGTATTACACTATTTAGCCTCAAACGAAATCATAGGAAACTCAGACCCAGAAAGATATGGTGACATACTGTAGATCACATTGTGAAGGGTCACACTTACGCAGAGCTCCTGCGCCTGGCTTTCTGTAGATGCTGAGCTACCCCCACTAATAACCTGAGTTTTTCAAAGGGGCCAAAGGCGGTGCCTAGAATATTTCAGAGGGCTCATAAAGATCTGGGTTCAAACCTACAGTGAGCCAGTGACGTTGTGAAATTGCTAATAAACCTCAAGTTTTAGCTTTCATAACAATGTGTAGTTTGAATCCTTTTCTATTTCTTAATATTGTTTCCTTATTTTAATATACAAATGATGCTTCTCAATGACTTACCTTGGATTGAAATGGCTTTGCAAGAACCGCCTTTCAACATCAGGACTTAAAAATATCCTGGCCCTTGGCCCTCCCTGGTGGAGCAGCGGGTTAAAGCACAGCACTAAGAAGCTTAAGCCTCTTCTGCATGAGTTCGAGTCCCGCCTGCCCCGGAGGAGATCCACATGGCGTGGCAGACCTCTTCTGACCCGCCCGCTGCTCCCCTCAGCAGTGTACTTTGTTGATCTGCCTGTTCTGCTCCCCACTCTGTCTCTGGTGAATCCTCTCACCCTCCGCATCTCTGGCCTGTACCCCAGCTCTATATGAATAAATAAATAAATCTAAAAAAAAAAAAATATATCCTGGCCCCTGCCATGTGCCCTTAGAGCACTGGCCCTCAATGGGCTGAAGCACGCCCTCTTAGCGTGGCTTCTAATGTGGTGACTGACACCCATGGTATGTTCTCAGACAGGGAGGATTGTGCTATGATTTAGCAGGCAAGGAACAAAAAGCTGAGATAGTGCTCTTCTTTTTTGTTAGGCAGATTCTTCCTCCTTTGCATAGTGGCCACCTCACTTGTGAGGAGCTGGATTTGCTGGACACAGAACTTGTGTTAGGATAAAGTTCAGTTGTATTATCCTTGACCTGAATCTGGAGTTCACAGGCGGCTTTATAATCCTGTCATGCCAACTAGTGCTTGTCCTGTGGCATTTCTTTAGAGAGGAGACAGCATTTTTAAGTAGGCTTGGAATGAGGAGCAACAATGACAACAGTAAAAATTCATGTTTTTAAGGCCTTTCTCTGTGCCCGGCATTAGAATAAGTTCTTTACATGCATTATTTCTTTTAATCCTCCACATCTTATGTGCTATCTAAAAGCCCTAACTATATCAGAAAGTATTTTCCAAGGCTTTTCAGTGTTACCATAGTTTGAAAGATGTGAAGATGTTCCCTTTGTTTAGAATCAAATTCTTTGGGGGAATAAATATTTCAGCATGATATAAATAGGTCTTATTCGCTCTCTCCTTGATGGAGGGGGATATTTGTGGGGACAGTTGCTTTCAGGCAGGACTTAAGAAGTTGAGGCTACAGCTGATGGCACAGCTGGGTTTCATCAGACTACTGCAATGCTGTTGTGTCTGGGAGCTTGTCTCTAATCTTAGAATCAGATTAGAACTTTTCTTGCCCTTCTCTCTGCCCTATTACATGAGGGTGAGGAATTCTCAGGCAGCTGACTTTGGCAATGTGGCCTGCGAGCACTTTTCTGGTGGAGACCAGAAGCTTCTTCCAAGCACTTGGTACTTGTAAACAGACCGGAAAAGATCACTAGGAGAAAGCAGCGCTGCTGCTGGTGATAGTTGTGTGGGCGCCGGATGACCTTGAACATCTTTTCTGGCTCCGACCTTTGATGATAAGCTGTGTGTTTTGGAAAACATCTTTCCAGGAGGGCCCTTGGAAGTTACATTAAGTATATTGGCCAGTATTGTATTTTCTGGTTCCATCTAATTTCTTTGGTTTTAATAGAAACTTAGAAGAGCAAGGGAGTGAAGATGAGGTATAGAGAGAGTCAAGGAAAAGTTATGTAGAAAAGTTCTAGATTGTTGATTTTTAAGAAACAGCTGAGGAGTCCCATTAGTAATTCCCTTCAAAATCATATTTCTTTTTGTTTTTCCCACAGTCTCTACTCTGGTGACTTACAGTCACCAGACTCTGACAGGCACATCCCAGGAAGTTTTCCTTCACTTCTTTCCTTTGTGACAGGAGCTTGTAGAAGGAATGGGGGTGTTGGAAGCTAGGGACAGATACAGGAAGAAGGTGCATTGTAGAGAATTTCAAGACAATCATAAAATTAAAAGTTTGGTCTGATTTCTTTTATGGTTACAGGGATAGGAGCAGGGTACCCCCAGGCCCCTAAGCCGGCCTGCTTTAGGTGGGTTCTGCTACCCACTGCATTAAGGCAAGAAATATATGGAAAGGAGCTTTAATACAATTTAATGCAACTTTAATAAAATTAGTGTGCAGTACACAGAAAAGACGAAGAATATAGTTTCCAAATCAAACACCCAAAGTTATCCACCCCCTTGTGGGTAAATGTACAGCCGAACAGGATTGGCCCAAAGCAAGGCCTGAAACCTCGCCACAAGACTAAAGCACCTTCTGGCAGGGACCCATGGAAAAGGACCAAAAGCAGCTAGACAAGTGTGGGAGGAAAAGAGCAAAATCAAAATCAAGATAAAAAGCTGCCATTGTTAACATCCCCACAGTCTTTCACCCATATTTGCTTCAGCCAGTTCAGGACCAAGAAGCTAGTGCAGCTTCTTCACATGTCTCTCTGCTCCATGTGTCTCCCTCAGGTCTCCTGGCTCTATCCTGCTTCCTTCCTCCTCATTTTCCTCTCCAGCTTCTCCTCTCTGCTCAGCTCTACTGTCCCTTGGGTGGAGCAGGGAACAGGAACCTTCCCTTTTCCTGGGACCCTGTTACATTATCACCATCCCGGGGCAGATTTGGACAGTGTCAGTGACCAAGTGCTCCCCTTCACAGAGTGGGCAGCTCCTGCTGTGTTCCCTGCACCCCCACTGGCATTGCATTTGGTAAAGGGGGTCTTAGTTCTTGAGGAAACAGAGTGTGAACTCCTTTCTTTACCGTGATGCTCCTAGACTTCTGACAACAGCCTTTTTCTTTCCTTTTCTTCCCCGTGCATGGTGCATGCATGTTTAGGCAAGGAAACAGTTACTGTTCTTCCAGGAGCCTCTTATTTCTCCAGCGATGAATCATTCGCCATGATTAGAGGGTATGTAATAACGTGTTCCACGCGGTGTGGAGTGAGCTGAGTCATTCCTGGAGTGTGTTAGCAAGACTCCAACACAGTCACGTTTCCTAGCCAGAAAACTCACAGGGGTTGGCTTAGCCGTGCCAAGAGGTCCAGTGATTCACCTGGGGTGCTGGGCATTGCAAAGTCCAGTGTACTATTATTAGAAGAACCTTCAAGCCTTAATCTATATCTGAGCACCGACTACACTGAAGTAAACACTTTCAAGGTTCTCCCTGAGAAGCCGAACATTTTCTGCAAACCATGTGTTAATATTCTAGCCAGAATCTGTCAGCGTGAGCCACATTCTCCCTCACTGAAGGGAAAAAAAACTCACTGCACACAACTGTTTTTAATGTGTTTTTGAAGACAATGTAGGCTTTACTTTTTAAAGAGATTCCTTAATGGTTATTTCTCTACATCAGCTTGGATTTGCCTGGAAATCAGATGTGTAGGGACTGGGAGAAAACAAATTTATTTTGGGAGATACAGAATGATAAATTTAAATTGCTGGCGATTTCAGGTCATTGGAACATAAAGTATGTATAATTTGCCTTATATTTCCTCTCTCTCTTTCTCAGGGGACATGTTGACCTAACAATGTTAGGAGCGATGCAGGTATCCAAGTATGGCGACTTGGCTAACTGGATGATACCTGTAAGTGGACCTGTGTCTTCTGAATCAAGCATGGGTCAGACTTATTATTTTTGTAATGCTAAAAAAAGGCTTGACAAGTTGCTATATATATAGAGTACAATATAATTTACTAAAAAATACAAATATTTTAATGTGGATTTATTACTTGAGTCACATTTTAACTGAACAATCACTGAGAAATATTAAGCATTGCTGCTTTCCTTGGTAGTTGGGATGAAAAATAAGATCAGGTCAAAGCAGAATTTCCCATGGAGCAACAGAGAGTTGGGAAAGTTAAAAGAGTCAGTTATGATACAAATTAGAAATATAATTTTTTTTAAACTAGAAAAATAATTAACATGTTCATTCATTTTATGTTAGATCTGTTATTTTCTTATTCACTGAAATAATTTAAAATACCTTCTTAGTCAGCCACATGACCCCACAAGTAATCAATCATGTTGTTTCCTATTGTAGAATACAGAGCTTATGAGGTTTAGACATGTACCTGTTTACGCGTTTCCATAGACCTTATGTTCCTCATGAATCAAGGAAGAAACCTTTAATACTCAGCACTGGAAAAGGGACTGTAATCAGTCACTTAGTTTATGAATGTGGTTCTTTAAGGTCCCAATTTGTTGCTTTCTGCAGTGTGTACAGAAGCTATACTGAATGCACATCTATGATCGTGAGCTCATTTTGGCTGATAACTCAGGCTGTTCTTCTGTTTACCTAGTATTTCTCTGGTTCAGTAATAGGTGATATTCAATGATTTGACAGTAGTATTTTCAAAAACATGTTTTTAGGTCCTTTAGCTTTTTCTCCATTAATTTTGTGAGGAAGATAGATTAAGATGGTTGGTAACAATATCAGAGATTGTGTTAATTTTGTTCTTTTGCTCTAATACCCTCTGAAATATTATTTTAAAGGGCTGGATTCTCAAACTTGGCTGCATATTGGAATCACCTGGGAGTTAAAACTTGATATCTGGGACCTCCTTACAGAGTTTCCAATTTAATTAATCTGGGATGTGGTTTGGGCATTGGGCATTTTGAAAGCAAGCCTGGTGATTATAATGTATAATCAAGTTTGAGAACTAGAATTAAAGAATGATTTATCATAAATTGAATTTAAAAGGTAAGGGGAAATATCGTTAACCCATTCATAGAAAGGACTGTTAGAAAATTATGGATTATATTATTAGTCTTGAAATGCCTTGCATTCTAAATTTGCCGTAGTTATGAGGGTTGGCTGCTTTTGAGGGCTTCAAGAAATCAAGGAGTGTCTCCTGAGCATGGTGCAGAATGAGAGCGACAGATTATGAGAAGGAATACTTAATTTATGCAGATTTCAGGACATTTTTCTGCTCAAACCTCAGAAGAAGGACTTTCAAGATAGTAGAAGGAACATACAAAGCAAGCCTTGGGTTTTAGCCTTGACTTGCCCAGTCATCAGGGCAATATGTACCTTGAATATGGTACTTATGCTCTCCGGTCAAAGCATGCTCATCTATGTGCAGAGGGTCTGAGACCAGATGATGTCAGGGGCCCCTCCTGGCTTTCATAAGTTATGAGAGCTCTCTTAAGCTCTCATAAGCTTGAGTATGTCTCAGAGACATAGCTATAGCTGGAGTGAAATCTTTTTTTGTCACTTGCTAGCAGTACCTGCTTCTCATCTGTAAAATGGCAGTGATATAGTTGTACAAATTTGGTAGGTACACACAAAGTACATAGCACGGAGGTTCGTATACAGTAAATGCCATGAAACTGTTATTATTATTCAATAAGTTAAGAAAGGAGAAGTTGGGGTTACTTGTGAATAACTAAACTATCAGTGTTTTATATTTTATAGTATAAACTGTTTAAACTCCACAGGAGTGGACTAGTGGGTCAGCAACTCTGGCAGCTCTTGAGTTCTGAAGGAACACTGAGGAAAATTAAGCATCAAAGTGTTCTTGTGTTGGGATCCCCTCTTTTTGGTACTGGAAGTTGGTAGTGTCATTTTGAATTTGCACATCTTTGTTCCTTTAGTACTGATGATCACTTCCAGACTTCTTCCTATAAGATTCACTGTGTGTGTTTTGATTCATTTGGATGCAGGACACTTAAGCATGAAGACCGTGAGCTTTAGTTTGGAAGACCTCCAGTTTGAATTTCAGCTCTACACCTTATAAATTATACAATCTGGAGTACATATTTTTCTTAGGATTAAGTGAGAAGAAAATGAGTAGTGAATACTAAAAGTACTCCATAAATAGTGGCTAATATTTTTATCTTCCTCAATGCTCTGTTGGCTAACATTAAAGAGGTAATATCTGTCTTAAAATACACGGGCAGAAGCAAGACTAAATCTTACAGTAATTGGTATAACCTCTTTATTCTCTGTTTGTGTTCAGGTATCCCAATTAAACCTTTGAGAGCACATTTTTTGCTCTCCCTGGCTGTGGCTAAGACAGAGTCTCACCTCCTTATTATACCGTTTCAGTGTGCATTTTGTTTCTGTTTGTCTCAAAGATTTATGTTGATTTATAAAGTTTGGATATATTTTTATTGCAAGATTTGGCAGCCAAGAAGTTGAAAAGTTCAGCTTTATTGTATCATTTTTCATTTACTTTTATCTTTTTACTGAGTTTAATAATCGTTCAGTGGTTGTAAAGCTTTAAGTTTCTCTGTGTCGTAGCATCTCATCAATCAATTCAATGTCAGATTATAATAAACATTAAGCTTTTAAGGCAGACAAATGGTGTGGATGCTATTTGTCTTATCCTTTAATAGCTTCTTAGTATGCAACATAGATAGATCCTATGCACAGATTTTTAAAAATTCTTCCCTGAACATTTGAAGAAGGAAAATTGACAAAGTCTTTGGCTCCTTTGCATTCCTTGGTTACGGTGGAGATGGTAAAGCCGCAGGTGAGCTGGAAATGTGGAAAGAAATGTCGGCTGTTGAATCTGCATTCAGGACTGCTCTGACCTCCTGGTGGCTATTTTTGGAGAACAGCTGCCATAGATTATGGACTCTGAGGGAAAGCAGACGTGTGTGCATATGATTAGCTACAGGAGTGGGCTGTTGAATGCATGCGACATGCTTTCGGGGCCTGTCGGACAGGGCTGCTGTCCATGAGAGACACATGATTGAAGGGCCCTCTCCTTCGCCATGGCGGGGATTGAGACTAGGTGTTGCTAAGGAAAGAAGAACAGGAAGGAATGTGAGCTGTTCTCAGGCTTGGTCTGAACAGGTTACTGATACTTCTTCATGCCTCTTTCCTCAACCTTGGGTATCTTCATTCCATACCTGTGCATGTCAGTGCTTTGCCAAAGACTCAGATGACCCCTTCATAAATCTTCTTAGCTTCTCTCTGTAGCGACTTCTGATATTTTAAGATTGTAAGTCAAATTCTAGTATTTTAGTTTAGCTGGTCTCTCTGAACCCCACAAGACCCCTGGAGTCCACCAGGGATGGATCCCTGCCTGCACAACAGCCTGTCAGCTCTCCAGGCAGCCAGAGGGGGCAGTCGCGAGCCGACCTCACAGAGATGAATTCCGGGCTGCCTTTTGCCTAAAGGCTCAAAGCTACACTTTGCTGAATTTTGTCTGATTCTCTAACTGCTTACTGCCACTATGTTTTGGAAGCTGTGTCTTCATAGATTTCTTGGGTGACTTTCTTAGTATAACTCCTAGAAATAGAATATGTTGTCCAGATTTTTAAGGTTCTTGATATATATTGAATACCTGTCCAGAAAAATCACCTCATTTTACACACTATTTCTATTCTGTTACCAACACCTGTGTCAGCTTTTTTTTCCCCTTGTCTCTTATTTTATTGTCTGGTTTTGTGTGTGCAAATGTTTTCTATGTCCAATATGTTGTATAAGCTATACACATGGGATGAAATAAAAAACAGGTTTATCTCTTGTGATATCTCTACCTTTATTCAATTAAGGAAGCTTTTTCTCTGCATGACATTTCAGCTCATTTCCAGGGAATGAGCTGTCATTGGGTCACCTTAATTCATGACATTAATTTTAATTCAGGAATTAAAGGGTCCAATCCAAACTAGGAACAGGGTTTCAATATATACTCAAAAACAATGGATCTCCTCTCACTGCTGCACTCCTGCTGTAGGTGGGCAGGTCAGGTCACCGGCATTTGGGGATGGCTGTGTGACGTTCTGCTCTTTCTCTCCATCCTCCTAACTCCCTGCTTGGCACCTTCTAGACTCAATGTCAAGGAAAAAGGTAAAGCAAGGAACAGGACCGCCAGGTACTCACCTGGCGAGTGACGGCCTGTGCTGGAATCTGCTCCCTGCTTCCCTGCCCTTTCAGGTTTTAAATGGATCTCTTTTTCACTCCGCCGTTGCATGCGGTCTTCGGAGACCCCTCCGACCTGCTTCTGCAGCTTCTGCCCTGATGGTTGGTGGTTGGCTGCCCCTGGTTCTCCTGCCCTCCACTTCACTCCGAGTTTCTCTCTGATGGGGCCCTCTCTTCTTTCTGGGAGATCCCTGTTGAGAGAACATGAGTGCAGGCTGACCTGCTCCTGTGGAGTTAACACCTAAGAAGCACTCACAGTTCATGTCTCACCTTCAGTGATGGTGTCGTGACTTCCTCAAAGCTGTCATTCACTTTTCTCAAGGAGGAGTTGGGCAGGCCCCCCAGCACCTGGGTCTGCCCTTCGGGCTCTGTGAGATGTCTGTGGAGGGACCTCTCTAGGTTCCTGGGTGGCATGGTAGGATCATCCACTACTTTTCTTCGATGTCCTGTGTTCACACTCTTTCGCTCTCTCCAGGCTGTGCTTCTTGGTCTTGCTACGGGTTCCAAGAGCCTTGGAAAAAAGCCAGCTTTTTTTTTTTTATGTTCTTTTTATTTTAATTCCAAACATCTATTTTTTCTTCCTAGTTCTGCCCCATCTTTTTTTTTTTTTTTTTTTTACAAAGGTTTATTTTTACATCATTTTGTACATTTTTTTTTCCCCATCTCAATTGTAATCCCCCGGGTTTCCCATCACCAAATCACCCATGCGCCAT